TCATTTTAGTAATTTTTTAAAGGTAAGATACCCTCCCCAACCCCTGAAACCCACTCCTAAACCTGTTCAGAGTTTGAGGCATGGTAGAACTTGAGGGAAACAGGATAGCAGGAAGAAAGTTGTATTCCTTAGAAGCTTGTGACCTTCAGGTCCATCTTGAGAGGGGGATCTCTCCATCTCTGGAAAATTCACTCTTGCTTGATTCACATCTCAACATTTTCCTTGGCTCCTTCTTGAACACTGAAGTCTTGGGCGAGTACTTTGAAACCAGGGGATTCCCCACTCTCAGCTTTGAATATTCAGTACGATCCCTAGCAGCTCCGTGTTGTAGTGAAAGGCACATTCCATCTTTACCATTGTAAAACCCTTTGGAGATGATGTTTTGGAGAAAAGTATCAGTCCCTTGGAAGTTAACCTAGTATTTAAACAACTCCAAACTCTTCTTTTTCTGATTAAAAATTAAACTCATAAACAACTACTTAATGTGGAAATGAATAAAATGGAAGTAGAAAGTCCCCCATAATTAGAACATCCATATGTCTTGGTTTGGCTGAAATAGTCAAGATGTTGACTGTGTTGGTTCAGCATGATTGCTGGGATAAAGTTGGTGCTGGGGACTGGACCCAGGACTCTGGGCATGCTCTGGGCACCCTACCACTGAGCCACACCCTCAGCCTTTTAGCACAATTGCTAATAGAACCTACTTTCATTCCCCCAAAGGATCAGGTTTGTGCATAACCCATCATGATGGAATGTGTTAAGGAATAGAATCTGGCTGTGACAGCAAATTCTATTTTCACTATTTGGATGAAGTTGGGATACTATTAGTGCTTCTCCCCTGTGTCTCAGAATTATTTTAAATACAAGTTAGATTTAAGAAGTCTATAAATAGAAATCTATTGTACAACTAACAACAAAAACAATAATAGCAAAAGAAGATGTATTGTTAATGGTCCACCCCCTCCACTTCACCTTTTGCTCTATGAAAACAGCCAAACACTGAGACATTACAACAGTCTGAGAGACATGTGTGGGCAGGGGAAACCCCACCTTTACTCCTATCATTCATACTCTTCTTTTAAGGCTATTCACAGTAGGACAGAGAAGAAATACCAGGACAGTAGATGTTTAGTGGGTGCTGACCAGGGTCCAGGTGTTCTCCAATGTGGTGGATTCTCATAGGACCCAAACATGTAGCAACCATCATGCCCACTTTTCAGGTACGAAAACTAAGGCATGAGGAGATTGAGGAACTTGCCCAAAGCTGCACTCTTGACAAGAAATGGAGCTGGGTTTGAAACCACTCGAAACAGCCTTCTTATGTATGATATGTACTCTCTGCCTACAGAATATGCACCAGGAATGCCCTGAGTGTGCCCTGGTCTAGCAGTCTAGGCACAAGCTTGTAGTTCTTGCCTGTGATATTGTGTTGGCCCCAAAAGACTCTTTGTGCATACTTCAAAAGACTCTCTGTCATCCACTGCCAAAAGTCAGGGAGCCCATATCAGTCAGCTTTGTATCACTGTGACCAAAATACCTGACAAGAACAACCTAGAGGAACAAAAGTGTATTTTTGGTTCTCAGTTTGAGAGATTTAATCCATGGCTGATGAAATCCATTGCTTTGGGCCCAAAGTAAGGCAGAACATTATGGCAGAAGGGCATGGCAGAGAGAAGCTACTTGGCTCATGGCAGCCAGGAAGCAAAGAGAGCACAGGGAAGAAGACTTCCAGAGCATGTTCTAGGTGATCTACCTCCTCCAACCATGCCCCACCTGCCTACAGTTACAACCCAGTCAGTACATTCAGACTAGGATAGACTAATTAGGTTACAGCCTTCATAATCTAAACATTGCACCTCTGAATATTCCTGCATTAACATAGGGACTTTGGGGGGACATTGCCTATCCAAACCACATCAGAGCCAGATTCCATTTCTGACCCTGATACACAACTCATCCATACTCCCTACTTTTCCACAGTTTCAGAAGAGGGTACAAGGTACACAAGGCTCCTCCAGGCTCTGTAGCCTTGGCACCCTTCAGGTAGCTCATGTTGCAGATGCACCTCACCCTGTTCCTCATGCCCCAGCAGCATCTGCTATGAAGATTTCCTTTTCTTTTCTTCCTTCTTCTTCTTCTTTTTTTTTGTTTTTGACTCATACCTAGGGATTCCTTCCTTCCTTCCTTCCTTCCTTCCTTCCTTCCTTCCTTCCTTC